AAAATAAAAATAAAACTTAAATGGATTTACTTAAACAAACAAGATTTTATTTTAGCTGCGCGTAGGTTACCTAAATGCACTACCGGACCACCGTCCGTTTTCTTCTTCTTCACCACTTCCAGTCGCATACCAATGCAGAGCAACTACAGCGCCCCTAGAGGAATCGGAGGAGTGAATCCAACAAGTAGTGCGTCTCATCGGCCCATCTGATCGGCCTTTATGGAGACCGCCGATCAAACTATTTAAAGCCTTTATCGGCCGATAACGATCGGTGACCGATCAATCGGAGCACCCTTATTGCTGGGAACAGTGATCGTTATTAAGTCTTGCAGCTGTTGGGAAGAAGGATCTAGGATAACGCTCCCTGGTGCACTTAGGGAGCAGCAGTCTGTCACTGAAGAAACTCTCTAGTCCTGAAACAGCTTCATGCATGGGGTGGGAAACATTATCCAACAGAGATTTTCATTTGGTTAGGATCCTTTTGCTTCCCACCTCCTGCACTGAGTCCAGAGGGCATCCAACCACAGAGCCGGCATTTCTGATCAGCATATCCATCAGCTTTCTCTGTTACAGATAAGCCACTGCTCCAACAGACAGCTCCATAGAAGATGGCTGATGCCACAACAAAGACATAGACAGACTTTAGGAGCGCCCCCTGCACTCCAAAATACCTCAGTTTCCTCAGCAGGAAGAGACTGCTCTGACCTTTCTTATACAGACTATAAAGTAAATGTATTATTATCTAGCTCTTTGGAAATCCCTCTCTGGTGATTAAATGATCTTTAAATCTGTAAAGCTATATTATATTACTATTTTTGTGTTATACATATATACAAATTATATGTTAAAACACCTCTTTTTGTCTATGTGTATATTATATCCTATCAACAATATTAAATATTCATGGTAACACTTTTCAATAACCTTCATCTTTAGATTGTCAAGAGACCAATTATTATAGATTAAAAGATGGTTTATTAATGTTTAATTTTCATTTATAAACTGAATCTAAGCCTCTTATAAAATGTTAATTAGATTACCATTTATAAATTATGGTAATGATGATTGGTGCAACCATATTCGTATATGTATTATATTATAATACTATGTAATTTTATGTAATATAAAATTACATTTATACATGAAACAACATAAAGCAGAAGAAGGAGCCAACCAATAAAAAAGACCCAATATATAAAATAAAAACTATGAAACATGATTAAAACATATTCAAACATTAAAGGTTATTGATAGAATTCTTCTAAGTTTTGTGTTATCTAATGTCAATGACTATAAAGTTTAAGGTAAAATTTTCATTATTTATTTTCTCAAAATCAACCATGTGATAAATAGAATTTATTATCTATATAAATTTTTTATTTTTTGTGCTGTCAATGCATAAATGGTTTTTAAGAAATACTTTTGAATTCACAGCTTCAGGAAATATACAACAGACTGTTGGAAGAGAGCAAAGAATCCAAAAGCTATTTAAAGTCAATATTAAAAGCTCTTTTTACTAATCTTTCATCATTTGAATTGCTATAAAGTGTAAGTGAGCTGATGAACGTGTCTACAGTATGAAATGACACTTACTGCTACGGTGATTTCGTTTTTTTCCATATCAGGCAAAATTTTCATTATTAGATATAAACTTTATGAACAACACAAATGTTATTAAATTATTTAAATGGAAAATGTCCCATTTCGGAAAATCTGATCCTTTTTCTTCTAAAATTTATTTGCATCAGTTTTGATAAAATGCGTCTTTATTTTCTTATTCTCTGCTAATTTGAATAAAACATTTTAATAAAAACTGCTATATGTTTATGCTAAAAAAACGTATGTCCCAATTTTATTCCACAGTTTTACATAAGGTCTGTATATACACAGAATTGCATTATAAACCTAATCTTTGTCTGTTTCATGAAATGTTATGGATGTCTGTGGTAAGTCTTTAATATTTCTAACTTTTTTCTTTAAAACCATCATCCTCAAAAGAGAATAGACAGATTATTTCTAACAAGTCAGACACAGTATCAGAAACTATTTTATCTACAGTGTTAATTTGTTAATTAGCTGTTCTAATAAATCCTGTTTCTTGTCATGACTTAAATTTCTTTGTTTTTTTTTAAGTGTATTTCTGCCAAAGACAAAGACAGTTGTCAAATCTGCTACATTAGAACATGGTGATTCATAAATGCACAATGCATTCTTATGAAATTTGTCATAAAATACCCTCTAGGCTTTTAATGGCTTTCAAATCCTAATGTCTTGAGGCAGGGAGCTTTTTTATTCTCAGTTAAAAATTTAGATTTTTTTTCTATTATTCACGCCTCCTATGAGACTACATGATCCCATTAGCTTCAAACGCTTGTAGTCCACATAAAATGCATACAACAAGCTGTTTGTTAAGGAACTCTGCACATTCTAGCATAAGCCTGTTTCAAACCTCTTTTATAGGGGTTTATCTATAGCAGGGCTCTAAACAATGCTGCCTTTAGAGGGTTAAATAAATAATTTGATAACATTTACCACATTAAAGCAAGTTTGGCAGTACATGCATGAATTTCCTGGTTATGGAAATAAACTGGAAAGACCGGAACACAAGTTCATGCTGCAGGATCTTCTTATCAGTCATTTGACTCATTTTATATTGAAATGAGCAAGTCATGTGGCTGCTCATGACTTAGGTTATGTGCATCAGAAAAATATTTTCATTTGTTTAAATCATAAGGACATTACTGTCATACTGCAAGGAACCTTTAAAGATAGTTGCTGTTTGAAAATATGCCTATTACCACTGCAAGGTGCGAAACTCCTGTTGCCTCCAATTTAAGCTACTGTAATTGTTGCCATATAATACTGGATGGTTGTTTTTTTGCATTTTTATGAGAAGTACTGCCAGTCAACTCAGGAATAATTTTACTGTTTTTAAAGATAACAGTTTTCCTCTGACCTATTTCTGGTTTGCTTTTCCCTTAAAAGCCCTGAGGCCATTTGATTAGTCCTATTATGGTCTTCTGTCACTACCTACAGCCCTAGCCTTTGCAATTTATATCCTGAAGAGCCTAGGTGTGCAGGGAGTATTACTTTTAAAAACTAATTACCAAAACCTTAGCCTTAATTTAGATGCATTATTTTCTATTTATATGTATTCTATTATCAGCTATTTTTTCATCTGTTTGTCAGATTGTAGGTGAGTGTATTTTGCTTTGATTTGAATGAAATATGGTTAATAATTAACATTTCCGCTTGTCTTAATGATTTTGTAGATTTCTTAACCATTTAAGAAAACTAAAGAAGCCACATTCAGATTGAATGTAAGCTGTGTTGTTTTCTATTTATGTTACTTCAGTAATTTCTTAACTATATGTGTATATTCAGTTTTCAAAAATTTATGATTTTACCCTTCAGATTTGGTATTATACTCTTTGCTTCTATGTTTTCTCTTAATGAAAATGCCAAAGAAACTTTTGGGGTAACCTGGATTTTCACAGATTGTACGGAACAGAGAGAAACTCATTATTTACCATTCTCCACTTATTGATGCACCCTGCTGTTCAGCTGACTGCAAGAAGGCTGTTACTTGTAGTAAAAAAAAAAACATCTAAGTCATAATTAATTATTCATTTTTGCTTCAAATCTACGTTTTATATTTGTATTTCTAATCAAGGTCTTTTATGATGACCAACGCTTAACAAGACCACACAGTTTTCTCCTTTTAAATACTATAATTAAAGTAGTTAGATATCTGAAGAAAAAAAAACACTCAATTGTGATACTAATGCCTAATTTAAAGCTTATAAAATTTTTTGCCATTCACTCCTATTTTTTTCCTCAGTATTTTCCCTGTACTCCAATATTGGAATATTGCTAAAACTTACTGTGAACTAAGGATCTCATCACTAACCATATACATTTGTTGTGGATTAAAAGAATTTAGAGACATCTAACAAGCCAAATAATTAACTGGCATGCAGAGTGGGAAGGCATGGATGTTGATGTATCATATTCAACCAAATATTACATCAGTACTTCGAACTGATATTAAAATTGAGCCTGAAATGTTAAGCATATCATCTGATCTGGCTGTTATTTGAATTAAATAATATAATTCTAACATGTCAAGCAAATTTGGAAAACTAAACAATAATTATAATGTGCAAAACACTTAACTTGGAGAAAATTAAACAGATTTTACTTTGAACTGAACCCACTTGTAAAGCTCAGCCTATTTACAATGGACCTGTAGAAAAAAAAACAAAACAAACATATTCCACTGGGAAAGCTTGACACAAGGCGTGTCTGCTAAAATTAACTTTTGACAAAAAAAGTAATGGTTCCATTGAGTGGGTTCAGAGTTTTTTAAGCTATTGAAAACTGTGTTTCAACTTTTAAATTGAAACCTGAACTTCTTGGTTACATTAACAAAAGAGCAAAGCCACTCCTTGTCCTCAGCTCAGAGCACACCAAGTTTCAAGTGCCACTTCATCCGCCTCACTCTTCTGCTCAAATGAATTCAGCGGCAGCGTGACTCACTTAAATGAGGAATGAGACAAAACAATTCCAGCTCATTTGACGCACAGTACCTGCAAGTTCACAAAGTCACACGTCACATGGCTTACTCTGATATAGACTGGAGACAAAAGACGTGGAAGAAACCTGAGCTTGCAACGCTCCTCTTTGTTACCATGACGACAGTTGTCGTCTATAGCCCTCAGTTGAAAAGGGAGCAGGCTCAGAGGACGGCTGAAAGAAGACTCCACCCACTGTGGGAATTCACAGATCTAACCTGGCAACTAAATACTTTTTGTACCTGTGAACATAAAAAAAACAGTCACTGAGCATCAACAAGGACTCATATTCTCCAAGCCATTTTTCTGTTTTATATACATAAATAAATGTTTAATCTCTGTTCTGTCTGACCTCTCTAAATCATGCAGGTGGATGCGGTATAGGGTGTGTTTCTGTGCAAGCAGGTGTAGCAGCAGGTTGAACAGGTTGTAAATGTCAGGCTGTTAAGCCCTCCCCTTTCTTCTATACCCAATTCTACCTGCAGGACAACTGCTGATTCATTCTTACAAATTGGAAGGTCTGTAAAGAGATTTGTGTGCACCTGTTCTCATCTGACACAGCTGAATAACAAGGTAAGGATTTTCTAGGATTAATTTCATCTTAGAATACTTACAGTCATGGAAAAAAAATATTAGACCACTCTGGTTTTCTTTAATTTCTGTTTCTAATGGCGCATTACTTGAAGAATAAAATAAATAAAGAAGAAACCAAGGACGGTCTAATATTTTTTTTTCCATGTCTATGTATGACTCAGGGCCTTATATAATCCTTTCAGGCAAAGCGCTGGTTTTACAAGAATTTACATTCAAAAGAGCAGACAAAACAATAAGGAAGTGGATATACTTTGTTTTAAAACAAAATTCAACAATGATATAAAAACAAACTGAACAAGAAAACATAAGAGACTGTTGAGGCATAATTGATTTTTTATCTGATTTGATGTTATATAAGACAGAGGTAGCAATGCTCCACTTACTCTACCAAAGATAACAGCTCTATGAAAGCCTAAATGTTAGAAATGTTGCAGTTAAAGGAAAATCCTCAACAGCTTAAATGTCACTCAATTAGTCATATTTCTGTTTGTGTGGTGGCCGAATGGTGTTTGCAGGGTATAGTGTTTCCTTTAGCCACTGTTTGTTCCTTTGTTTATGCTGGACTGATCTCTGGAAAGTTGAAGCTGACAGGGTTGTTGAGGCGATAGCTGCTACACACTCTGACAATCCAGCAGAGTGGGAACACTTTTCCACAGAAGAATCCTCTGAGCGTGACGGGTCAGAGGTAAACACGTCTCCTGTTGGCTTGTTGGTGTGACGCCTATGGTCAGATATACTCTCAGAGCTGTGCCATGGGAGGACGCCAGAATAACACGATGGACAGAAAGTGACAGTGGTTTGGAATTAAACTACCCACATATGTGGGTAGCACAGCTCAAAATGTTAGCAATGTTTGACAGATCTGAATTATAGCACATGGTCAGTGGGATTAAGAGATTTCTTTTTTTTTAGGTCTACTTTAAGGTTTAAGCATAATTAGAATTTTTCATGTCTGTTGTCATAAACAGTCACCCAACTAAAATAGGAACAAGTCAATACCTTGGGCTAAACCACCCTGTTAAACTGGTTTGACACCAACTGGTTTCATTTAGAATTTATGTCCTTTCATTGTAATTATATGACTTAAATGAAACAATAGGGGATCTATTCTTAACATTTGATTATCATAGGCAAAATAAAAAGTATATCATTTATTGTGTGTGATTTTTTTTAAATAACTTGATTAACTTGAATAACACTGTATTTTTCTCAGTTTTGTTTTTTAAAGTATTACATTGGAGAAAGTTATTATAGCATTTATATATAAACAGGTTTTCCACAGGTGCGAACAACAGCATCACACTTCAGATTTGCATTTGCTTGTTCAACAATAAAAATGCTATTATATTCAATTAATAATAATAATAACGGATACTTAGAACCTTCTCAGAGCACAAGGGCAATGTTCTACTACTAAATGATATTATACTATGACTGCAACTATAATATAATATATTGTTATAGTTGCAATCATTATAGTTGCAAAATATGTTAAGTATCCATTTTTTATCTTAGTTTTTGAAAAATCCCGACATAATTGTTCAAAAAAGATCAATGTATTTCTGCAGCAGCTTAGAGTGCCCACAAGTTCAAACCAGAAACAAGAAACATGGAGGTGGATACATTTGTATGCCAGCTTTCCTGGAGATCGGATTAAGGCTCCCCTCTGAGCGCACAGTTTTTTAGTTTTCACTCAAATGTTGCACTATATGTTTATTTTTATTTCAGTGTAAAACATTTGCTGTCTTTTATAATATTTTCTCTCGTATGTTTTCTGTAATTTACTACATTGTACAACAAAAAGGAAAGTTGTTAAGCTCCTATTGCTCTGAAACATTAATTTATATCTTTTTTTCCTTTTAGATAGAATAGCAACATTTCAGCCTAGAGACTTGAATCCATTCAGTTCTTTCCATTCTGGTGGATCATTTTCGAAAATGATAAGCAAATGTGAACAATTTGATTGATCCAGCATTCACACAGCAGGCTGGCGCTTGCATACCACCCACAGAGTTTCCATTTATTTTTCAAAGAGTGGAAAAAAACAGACACATGCTGTGTGGATGACAAACAAGCTAGTGAAAAACTGACCATAGATTACTTTTTCTATATCATTTCTGCTTGTCAATCTATTGCATGATAACATAGAAGAGAAAATTGTTTTATGTCATTTTCAGGTGGATGTGTCAAGATTTGATTGCTGAAACAAACACATGGCATAGATGTTTGAGGCTGAATGAGATCACCACATTTGCATGTCCTGTTTTCCAGGAGGCACCAATGTTACAGTCTGTAGATACATCATTTCACTGTGGTACTGAGAATGAACAAAGAAGCAGATCAACAAAGAGTCAAAGCAAGCCAGCCCCGAAGGGAACTGCTGTCATTTTTATGAAGGAGTCATGCCGATGGGAAAACACATAGCTTGGAGAGCATTTGTGCTAATTTACCTCCTTACTAAGTCACATTTTTCTCGGGAGAATGTATTGCTACTCTAGTGAACTGTATAAACTGCAGGAGTTACTGCACAGAAATTTGCAGATGAAATACCTGTGTTGTGGCTGAGGGTGTCATAATTCTGAAGCTGTTAACTATCAACTGAGAAGGTCTCAGGAGCTTGGAAAAGGTCAGCTCTTCAAGGATTTCATTTATAACTGGTGTCAGTAAAGCTGCCCTGTACTATCAAAGCTGCAATTTTATTATTGAAATGTTGGAAGATTGGTACAAGCAGAGAAGCTTTGCTGCAACAGGCATTTAACATATGAGGATCTCTCCTGAAGGCATTTACTCTTGGCAGGTGTACAAAGAGAGAGCCAGAGAGCCAAAACAGAATATTATCTGAAACATTTTTTTTTTTTAGATTTTTGCACTTCTACTGATATCATAATAACTTTTTATACATAGGATTAAATGGAAGTACTCAGCAGAGAGATATAGTATACAAAACTGACTATTATTTTTCAGTTTCCAATTAAATAAACTACCCCCATTAGGGAGTGTTTCATAAATTTGCAGGTTAAACATTTTGTCTTAAATTTTAAAAGGAAACTGGTGAAACTGGAAATAAGAACATTCTGCCACTCCCTCTCACTCTTGGACTATTTTTCAACTCAAATGCCATCATAACTAATTATTACTTGTGCTGAAAAAGTCTGACAAGAAAATCAGGAGTCTTGTCATTGTATTTTATTATTACCTGTCAATCTGAAATCTACAGCTGTTATTACTATTGGTTAATTACTCGTGTTATTTAAATATGGCTTTAACTTTGGGATATTTCTTATAAACACATTAAAGTTATTTTTTTTGTGAGTTTTTGCGGCACTAGTGGCCCATTTTTTCAACAGTAGGCTGACAGGAGAGAGGGTATGAGAGAGGGAGAGAGACATGCGGCAAAGAACCACAGGTTAGATTTGAACCCTGGGTCGGACGCGCCCAGGACTAAGGACTCCATACATGGGTCGTGCACGTGCGCCAAAATAAAATATAATAATTTATTTTACTATTAAACTACAGCCTTGAATCTGTTCTATGTAGCTGCCTGGAGTTGCGTTGCATCAGATGATTTGCTACCGTAGAGAGAACATAGAGACATAGTTTTCCTACCAATTCCTACCTACTGTAGCATACATCTAAAACCTTACTAAAGTAGGCTGCAATGAATTGTTCACAAATCATAACAATCAGCAATGAAGGTTGCAACTCTGGGATGCCATTTATTCTGTTTATGAATGCATAATTTAGGCAATTGTATTCTAATGTGGATTCAATAAGCAACACTAAGAAAAATAATCCCATAGGGTTAATGCTGACACTATATCAACCAATGAAAAAATACAGAATTCAGGTTAATACTTAGTTGGGTTTTATTGTTACTATGATTAATTCAGCTCTTAACTATTTAACCATTTAAGTGATCTAATAGGGCGCGAAAGTTCAACATCAATTTGTGTTGGAACCCCTAATTACTCAAAAGGAGAGACATCTCAGCAAAAGGAGAACATGTTGTCCTGCTGTAGTACAATGCTGTGTATCCTACATTTTTCATCCTAGTACACACACACACTACAACAGACATGCTGCAATGAAATTAAATCTTTTATTACGGTAAATCTTTTTTCTATTCATTTTTCAAAACATTTTTTACATACATGAAAAATAAGAAATAATTTAAAGGTAAATTTAACCCAGTGGTGATAATTGTCCAAAAGCTGAAAATATTTGTATTTTTGAAGATTTTCTTTTTGCTAAAAGAGCATCCCTGTTATGTTTCTTTTACTGTCAGTGTGAATAGATAGCAATTTTTGCTGATATGGTTGGTTGCTGTTTCAAAAATTCCCTCGGTGCTTCAGAGAAGTATCTTGATACTGTTTGACGCGTCTTTAAAAATTAATGTGACAGTTCATGTGACATTGTCAAGGTCTGTGATGTCCCTTGAGCAACATCCAATGACATTGCTCTTCGAAGAGCCCTTTGATTTTAACCTGACTGGTGGATCCAAAAAAAATATCTAACCTGCTCTAAAGTCAAATACACCCATAAGGCGGACAGCTATTCTATTGTATTCTTTTCTATTCTATACAGTTTTTTGTGTTTTTAGTTTAAAGTATAAAAGATTTTAAGCATGCATACTAACCATTGGCAGGTTTGTCGTAAGTTGTTATGGGTTTCGCCTGAGACTCTGTATTTTCTTTCTTGTGGGAGGCCCCCCTGTTAAATCAATAAATACAGTATGGATATACTAAAATATACACAGTAATAATGCTATATAACTTCAGGCTTTTAATGTGATGAAAAAAAAATCTTTTTAACTAATTTGAAACAAAGACAAAGTTACTGAGTTGTCTCTTTAAATGAGTTACTATATAACGAGCCTCAGTGATTGCTTGCTATCAAAGGAGGTTGTATAAAGGAAAGGTAGCACAAATATCTTTGTTTACATGTTTGTATTTTCTTTTCCTTTTAAACACAACAGGAAAATGATGTCTTTGAAAACCACAGCAAGCATCCTGCTGCTTCTTCAAGCATTTCACCTGGTATACCCACAAACTTCAACTGACTCTCCGGGACGTACAATTGATAATAGCTGGCTCCGTCAGCTGCCCAAAAATCAACTCGAAAGTGAAAATACTACATTTAGTGGAGAAAGCGAATTTGATCTGACAACTGATCCCGTGGCAGATTCCAGCAAAGAATTTACCAGTGGAATGGCATCTGGCTTCATGGCTGAAGAGAAGAACATGACAACTCCTGATAAGAGTTTAGACGAAACATTTGATGATTCCAACATTATGACTACAATCATTCCCGCTGTGTTTGAAAATGAAACAACTGAGGAACCAAAATCGCCAGCTGCAACCATCTCTGAAAGAAAGGAGACAACAGAGGCCACAGATTCAATTCAAAGTAACATGACCAACTACGAGCAGGAATTTAATACACCTATGACAACAGGAAGTACAACCACTGTCTCGAATACCAACTTACAGTCCACAACCACCATGGACTCCACAGCCTCCACTGAGCCCACAACCGCCATCGAGCCCACAACCGCCATCGAGTCCACAACCGCCATCGAGCCCACAACCGCCATCGAGCCCACAACCGCCATCGAGTCCACAACCGTCATCGAGTCCACAACCACCATCGAGTCCACAACCACCACAGGGCCCATGACCACAACCGAGTCCACAGCCACCACAGAGTCCACAACAACCATGGAGCCCATAACCACCACGGGGCCCATGACCACCACGGGGCCCATGACCACTACTACAACAATGACCACAACCCCAGGGAATGATAAAGGATTGACTAGTATTACAGAAACTACCAACACACCTACTACAACTACAGCAGCACCTGCGATATATACTTCAACTGAGCTACCATCTGAAACCACCCAAACTACATCTCTATCCCCCACCTCTGTGATGTCAGACATGCCAGATTTGGCTAATAAGACCGGAAAAATTGCAAGTGGCTCAGAGAGGGGCTCTGTGGCAGAATCAGGTATGGAAGGCTTCTATACACATGTTCAGGTCTGTGAATTTTCCTCTTTAAAACTGGGTATGGGTAAACAGCTAAACTAAATTTGGAAAGACACATTAAAGATGCATTCTTAGGTTTTCATGTGGTCTTTGATGTAGAGTGTCCAGACAGTTTTAAAGCTGTAGAAGAAACATTTAATTAGGCTGGATTCCTTGAAGGCAGAGCCAATAAATTAATAAAAAAAAAAACAGGAAAAAAAAGACAGCAAATATCATAAACTAAAGCAATAGAAAAAGTTAAATACTTGAGTTAAATACTATGAGATATACTTGGATGTTTCAGATCATCACATACAATTTATAGACAAATATAACCTGAATAAATATTATAAAGCAGTTTCACTTATTACCGGAAACATAATAACAAGAGAGCCAGAGCTGGATCTAAGGGAAAAGTAATAACGCCCAAACCAAATAATTGGTTTTCACACCCCAGGCATTAACAACTGCCAGGTGTTTGCCATTACTGACAACAAGTGAAGTGAGACCTGTAGAGCTTCTGATGATGTTCTGGGTTTTTCATTTTTTAAATCACCTGGAATTGTGAGTGACGCTCTGATGGATTTCAGTTTGGTAAACCAGCCACTCTCGGGAAAGTTAATCGCTGCTCAAAGTTTGTGTACAGAAATCTCTTTGTAGGCCTATGCAGACTCATAGATGCCGATTACTTTGGATCTCATCTGTTTTCAAATCACTTTAGATAGTGGCATGGTTATCTCTCGTGTTTAAGGAGAGATCAGACTGCCATAAAGCAACACTCTGGGTCACATGAGTTATTGAGTGATGGATCCGACCATCTCAAGTAAAATAGGTGCATTTTGGAGAACAGTAGCCCAAATGGAACATCGATACGAAAATAATTTAATATCTCTCAAATTAAGTTGTTGCTTGGGTTAAGAGTTACGCAGTATAAATTCACAGAGTAACTGTGTTTGATGTTGAAAAGTTCCTTTACTAGAATATCTGGTGTTTTTCCTCAGAACTCAATTGAAAGACATATGTCTTAGAAACGTTTAATACAAACTAATTTTAAGCAGAGAACGACAAGAAATCAGTCAGGTTTCCCCTCAGTTAGATTGCTTATGAGGGCATTTACCATGGTAGCATGTTAACACAGAGGGTATTTCCGCCCTTTCCCTGACCTGCATTTAGCTTCATCTCTTTTCCCACTGGCAGAGGACAAATGCTCGTTCTTTCAAAGGCAAAGGTTGTATTGAGTTTCAGGTTTTATTGATGGAGCCTCTAAGGGAGAAAGGGTCTGTTACAGCTTCTCTCTCAGCTGGACAATGAGACCCTGTTCTAGCTGCAAAAAGCCTGAAAAAAGCCAGCAGAGGACTGGGAACTGGGCTCCCCCAGGAGCGTGAGACTATCTTTGTTTTGTCAACCTTCAGGTTTGGAGGATTCGAAATTGGAAAAGGCTGCATGTTTTACGGATTCAATTTGCATTTCATTTTTTTTTTCTTCTAGTTCAACTACCTGGAAAGCAACATTTAGGCTAGTTCAGAGAAAACAAAAGGGCTGATAAAGAACTGGCATAGCGTTTGGTTTTAAAATAAAACTCGCATCCCGTGGACAGATGTGACAGGAAGACATAACGCTAACAAATGATGGCAATAAACAGTAGGAAAAACAGTTGTGAAACTGTGGGGGAGCCAGAAGCCGAAGAAAAAAAGAAAAGATTCTCCACAGTTACCATGACAGGCACAATGTGTTCACAAACAACATAGAATGACAGTGACTATGAGCAGATAAAGTTAAGCTTCTATAAATATCCTGTTAGTATAATACTTTCTCTGACCTAAGAAAAAAAATATAATAATAATAATACACCCCTCACCTCAAGGTGCTTGATCTCACTTGGATACAGTAATTACCACAGTGTTAAAGAAGGCTTCAGGATAAATGATAATGTCAGGTTCAGAGATGGGAAGTAACGAAGTACAAATACTTCGTTACTGTACTCAAGTAGATTTTTCTGATATTTTTACTTTACTTTACTACTTATTTTTATGGCGACTTTTTACTTCTACTCCTTACATTTTTACACAAATATCTGTACTTTCTACTCCTTACATTTTAAAAAATTGGCTCGTTACTTTAGTTTTGAATCATTTCAATAGAGTTACCGTTATTATTTTTCACGTCACTGTGAAAACGGAGCCGTTTTCCCCCTCTGTTCCCAAAGTGTAGCCGCTGTCTATCACGCACAGCGTCACATCCTTCACTACATTTCCCAGCATGCACCACAAACCGGCCATCATGGCGGCGGCAGTTCCAAACAATTCACCAGGTAATTTACACTAGTTCCGAAATTACAACGTCACCTTTCATTCAACACTTTACTTACTCACCAGCGTAGCAAACTCTGAAGGTACCCACTGCGACAGTTTTAATATACATTCCGTAGTCGGTAATAAAACTTCCCAGTCAAATTACACATTCTCTTCCCTTAGTCCGTCAGCATACTGGTCCGTGTGGAAACACGTACCGCATCGGAGCCAGTCTCTTATCCATTGTCCCAGGGCATTGAAAAAGACTATTAGGGGGCAGGGGTGTTAAGTGGGATTTCAATGAATGTAATAATTGTTTGCATGGTAATAAGTAGGTGAAATGGTAATGTTAGCATGGTTAAATTATTTCATTAATATGTATGTTTTTGTATGAATGATGCTATTGTCTGTATTTATTTTTCTACAATGTTTTTTTTTTTAATTAACTTTATTTAAACAAGGTGGGTAGAAACAAGTTAGGCAATAAGAACATTAGAATTCTAATTCTATAGAAGGCATAGTAGAGGCAGATTTCAGAATGAAAATACAAAGTAACTTTGATGAGGAAAATAAAAAATGCGTGAGTAATGCTAATAATACAATAAAATAACATAAAGACAAGGGGATTCATATGTTAGGATTAATGTACATCAGTGGGCAGTTCCATTAGTATTTCAGTCAGGTATTTGTAAGATTCGATACATTCAAGAGATGTCAAATATAAATTAAATTCAGATAAAAAAATACTAAAGATAGGGGAGGATCTCAAGACTCTGTTTATGAATAAAGAATTTTGCTAAACAAAAAATTAGGTTACAACAGAGTTCTATTGTTTTGTCTTTCAATAGTATTCCAAAAACTACCATATCTCTAGAAATAGAATTAGGGAGTGCAATTTTTGATTTGATCCATCTTTCTAAACAATTCCAAAATGTTTTAGTCTGACTGCATTCATAGAAGAAATGGTCTATAGTTTCTACATCACTTTCACAGAATGAGCATTTATTGTCATCAATATTAAAACGGATTCTTAGTAGTTCTTTTGATGGGTAGATGGCAGTTTCTTTAGCTTTTGGTTGTATAGGAAGTTTAAAAAAAAAGGTCTTGGTATTTCAATTTTTGTTCAAATTTGCAAAGAATGTTATTTTTATTTATTTTCCCAGGGAACAAAGTTTCATTTAGATAGTTTCTAATTGTGTGGTTATTGAATTTTTGATCAGTGATTGATATTCCATTAATAGATAAATCGGGTAGTTTGGGGGTAATTGGATGATATATTATTATATTTTGAATCTGATTAATAAATTGTTCTGGCAAGGCGTTAAGTTATCTTGTAAATTCATCTTTTGGAGGAAGGAACTGATATTTTGTACAGAATTGTTCGTAATTTAATATGTAACCATTAGTGTCCATTAAGTGTATAATAGACCAAATATTCTTCTCCATCCAATCTTTGTAGAATAATGACTTATTGCGATGTAGAATAAATCTATTATTCCATATGATAGAGGAGTGTGGCGAGTAGTTATGAACATATATCATTTTCCATTTTTTCTACAATGTTAACTGTGCTTTATTGGGGATTTCCCTTCCTGTTTAGTTGGGCTGTCCCAATTGGCTGATTATTGGTGGGTCTATTTAAGGGGCACACTCCCAATGGCTTAGGGGTCTGCTTGGAGAGACTGGTTGGAGAAACTGCTCTTCAAGGTCTGCTTAGAGAGACTATATTTAAAGTCAGCTTGCTGTGAGGCTGTCAGTGTTTTGTATTGCCTGCAATGGCCGGTTTTGTTTTCTTTATTTGAAAGTATTTTGTTTTTTTTTGTCTTCACCGTTGCACCAGTAAACCGCTACACGCTTTTGAACTGGAATTTTGTTGTCCGCTGGTTCTTACCACCTTTTTGCAAGTCATCTGCTTACTCCTCCTCTGACGTGAGACGGGAGCTGGTGAGCCGTTTTCTCACAAATACCAAATTCAGTCTAATTGGATGGGAATCTATGTTGCATTTGACGCACCACTACAAGATGAATCGACAGATTCGGCGGTATTCATTCGCTGCAAATCATTGCAGCTTGGTGGCGTTAGCATAGTAGTATGGACGACGAGATGATTGAAAATGAACACAACGGAGATCTAGTCCTATTGGCAGACATCCATTTAAAATGTAGGCAACGGCATGAAAAAAGTGGTTTCTACTTTTACTTTTATACTTTAAGTAAATTTACAAGCCTGTACTTTGTTACTTTTACTTGAGTAAAGACGTTTAATCAGTACTTCCACTTTTACCAGAGTATTTTTTAACACAAGTATCTGTACTTTTACTCAAGTACGGAAAATGAGTACTTTTGCCATCTCTGGTCAGGTTTACTTAAACAACTTCAGCAGTTCTAATTTGTCCATTTACTGAGTGTATTCTGTTACTGTTCTCTAGAGTTATCTTTAGGTGATTTATTTCACCCTTAAGCACTTCATATCCAGGCTAAGGAAGCAACATTCAAGCTGCAAGGCCAGGTTATTGAATTCATTAATAATTACGGTTTGAAATATGACGTAGCACACATTGAAATTAAAATTTTGATGTATCTCTTGATAGAAACAATTTAACACCCCAAACTAAATAAGGGATTTATATATGTTTAAAAACCACCAACCCAAATACTTGTTGACAGCATTTATCGCAGAATTGATCATAATACTGTTCATAAATCTGTTGATCACTAAAAAGATGGGTTTTCTGTATATTTCCTGAACAGAATTTTTTTGTTTGTTTGTTTGTTTGATTTTAACCTGGAGATCAAGAAGATATGTCAAAATTTGCATATATAATGTGAATAGCCAATTACCAACTTATATTTTCTGTTGGATGATAAAAGTTACTTTTTTTTATTTGTCACCAAAGTACATCCTTCTGTGGCAGATGCACACAGTTGTACTTATGGCAAGGAGTAAGCTTTTCAAACAGATTTTAATGGTATAAGAAAACATACAATTGTGATTTATTTCAAAATGTTATAATCATAGTTGATATATGGGGAGTGGTGGCCTAGTGGCTAGGAATAGGACATAGGGCTTGGAATCTTGCGGTTGTGAGTTTGAAACCCACTCCCATAGCCTGCCACTCTGGGCCCCTGAGCAAGGACCCTTAACCCCACACTGCTCCCTGGGTGCTGCAAATGGCATTCCACTGCTCCCCAATGGGATGGGTGAAATGTAGAGATTAATTTAGTTGCGCTCTATTTGTGACAGTGTAATGACAATAAACGCTGAAAAAAAAAAAAAAATATATATATATATATATATATAATAGCCAAGCATCTATTGCAAAAAAGATATTGCAATAAGGATAAACCAGTAACTAAGACGTGCAATATAGTTTCCGATGTATAAACATCAGATTTGATGTCACTATAACTTTGTGTGCTTTGTTAAAGTGTGTCTTAAGTGACTTATGTTAGGCACTTAGGATAAGTAGAAAAGTTTATCATATGCAAAAAAAAAAAAATTCTACTAATTAAGATTATTTGGTACTGCCATCTTAAAAGACATCTAAAAGTTCCTCACTCTGCTTTTTAATTGATAGATAAAAAGTTCCTTAAAGAAAAACGGCAACAAGAATTGAAGGGAAACTGTAGTTATGTTTTATTCTATCAGAAGTTTATCAATGAGGTGTATTTAAGACTTAAGTCACCCAGTAAAAAAGCAACTTAGCATGTCATTACTGAATGTTGTTTCCACCTGATCTTCTGTGCATCCTGTAATTACCTCTGGGCTATAGTGAAATTAATTGTTATATGTGGTCCATCGAGATATCGTCTGAGATAAGTCATCTATGTGTCATTCACTTTTTATAAAGCTCATTTAGATGATGAACTCAGTAAGCCACTCTAAAATATTCAAATGTATTCAGAAAATTATCAGGGTTTTTGGCATGTTAATTGCATTAATTATCCCTGTGTAAATTTTGCAATTCTGCCTAAGTAGGATGTGTATCTATGCAGCGTGTCGACACGTTTTTCAAAAACACATTTTCAACCCTAATTATGTGACAATTAGCCCTCAAAGATGGGAGATGATATAAATCATTTAATTGTTGACAAATTATTTATAACTCTTTCCCACCCACACATCCATATCCCTCCTTTCTCTAATGAAGGTTCAGAGCTGGATCCTTACAGAACTAAGAGGAACGCAGCCTGGTTAGCTGTACTGGGAACGGCGGCGGCAGCAGCTGTTCTGGGATTGGTAGCCTACATCATTCTGAAAAAGAAACATCAAAAAGCTTTCTCTCACAGGAAGTTGGTGGAGGAATTCCCTTCAGATCCAGGTAGGCTAACCCTAGCACATCTGTTCAGTACAGTAAACATAACTTCATGTCCCAGTAATGCTAAAAAGGCAGGACAACAACCAGGTGTTTAAAACATTCTTAAACCATCCATCCAAGTATTTTCCATCTCATCCATCAGGGTCACAGTGGGGCTGGTGCTTAACTCTAGCAGTATATGGGCAAATGAAAGAGTACACCGTGGACAGGTCGCCAGCCTATCACGGGGCAGAGATACAACCATGCTCACACACACACACCTAAGAGCTATTTAGACTTGCTAATGAACCAAACAGTATTTTTGGGGGGCTGTGGGAGGAAGCTGGACCACCCAGAGAGAACCCACTCATGCACAGAGAGAACATACACTATGCAGAAAGACCGATCTGTAAATACGCAGTTTAGTGTGTTCATTCAGTACAGATTGTACTTCTCCAATGTCTGATTGTGTGTTGTGTCCAAAGCTACAAAAAAACTAACATATGCTACTGATTTCAATAATGTGAAAGAGCTTTTGTCAATATTAAATGGAGTAGTAGCGTGTTTATTTTTGTATTTAATTTACTTTTAAGTTTCAAGACGGTTTCACAGGGGAAAAAAATAAATTTTTTTTCTTTTATTTATCGTTTCAAAAATGTTTTTATTAATTTTAAGGTCTAGCATTTCCACTAGATGATGGTCTATACTGTATGACCCAGCCAAATCTGGATTTGTTTGCCTAAGTGTGACACTTCAACCACAAAAAGCTCATAACACTACTGCCTCAGTCAGCTACTAAGGCACGTTGATACACTGATTTATTGTGAGACATCAAAGTAAAGGAAGTTAAATAAAAAGTGTCATTTTATGCCCATGTTATTACATCCTAATAGTCCCCATTTATTTCCCCAGAGAGTTTTTATGTTCATTCATTCACTAGTTTCCACAAGTTTAACATTGTTGGAAGATATGATACATAGCCAATTAACACCTGTTAATGAGAAAGCTTTGGATGTTCTGGCTGGCAGATTTTATAGCCTCCAGACTGCACTGTAACTGGCTGCTATTTGAAGCTGCATAACTCATCCAGCTTTAATAAGGTAACCCTTCAATAATGAGGAAATCTCACCATGCAAAATAGGATCATGTTGCAGGATAGCTAACAATCTGTCTCTTTCCTGTCATAAGCACTGAGTAACTATGCACTTTGTCAGTCACAGTTTCCCCTAAGAACCCTCATATTTAACTTCTCTGTAAAACTCAGAGCAAAATTAAATGGCACAGGACTGCAGGGAACATTTGTTTTCTAAGACACCCACAAGCATATACTCCTACTGCAGATATAGAAATTTCGGGTCATGGTGACAAGTTATTTTGTGTGTGGTCCTCAGAGATTTCAAAAATTAATTAGATATTGACCTATTGTAAGTATGGAACTGTACCCATTGTTCCAATAAAATTATTGTGAAGTTATAAGAAGAATAGTTATTTAATAAAATCCCACATAGAAATGCCAATTTGATTATATATAAACAGAGGTGATAAATATGCTCACTAGGTACTTTCATTATTAAATTATTATTATGAAAATGTTTCTAAAAAAATTAATCTATATAGATGGTGTTGGATTGATAAATCAATAATGAGTTAAATTGTGTTCTCGTTGTTTCTGTGTACATTTGTATTCTTCCCTGAATCAAATGTCCTACAGATGTTAATGATTATTTGCACATTTTATTTTAGCTGTTCTAAAAGTGTTGTTTCTATAATTGCAGAGATTGTTTTGTATTTTTCTAAACTGGTTGCTGTTTTTCTTTTTTCGGTTTTTTAGCCAAAACATTTCTAAATATATTACCTGAACATCACTTTTCTTATCAACTGTACACTACGTCATTGATCTCTGAGACTTTTCTTTACTTATTTCGCTTCACAGCTTCACTTTTACATTTTTGTTCTTTCTCTTTAAATTTTACTCTTATGTCTTCTGTTTGCTTTTTTTGTCATGCTCAAATGTCCCTAATTTTGGATGTTATTAGTAATTCTTATCAATTTATCTTATAAAGATATCTTATCTTATCTCTTTTTGACCTTGTTTGTTCCATAACAGGAGTTATAGAAACCCACACAAAATTACTTTAGGCTTTTGCCTTTTATAGACTTTCCTATTAATAAATTTTTTACTGTTTGGCAGCTTATTGTTTACGATCATGAAGTATCGTAACCCTACCTAACCCTATTTACATCTATATTTTACATATTGTATGTCACACAGATAGACTTACAAAATACGAAATAGATTTTTTAAACATTCTTATTAGCACATACAGTCTGGTTGGTATCCCTGCAATGTCAGCACAACTTTTCATGACTACCAAAAGAGCAATATTAGAGTTTAGTTGAGTTTTAGATTAAACACCTAACTAAATCAACATGGTTTTAACATTATTTCTAAACAACTATCTGTTTTTAGGGGTTGAACATGAGAGTCAAGTGTTAACTACAGGCAGCAAGCCAATGAAAAAAGATTAAAATATTTCTACTGATTGATTAAATTAAGTGAGAAGTGAAAAAAAATTACAATGTCATAATCAAATGTAAAAATACCCAAAAATTTAACAATGATTTGGATTTTCAGTTCACAGATTAGACAACGATGAACCTTTGGACCTAAACTATGGTGGCTCAGCTTACTACAACCCAGCACTCCAGAGGGACAGCATCCAAATGACCAACATTCCAGGACGCCGTTGAAACTGAAAGCACTTCTGGGAGAAAAATTATCATTTTTGGAAAAGAATGTGACATTTTTGGAAACGGACTGTTGTAGAGTTGCACTTGTTAATGGGAAAAGGGATCAATTTCCAGTAGATTAGGTTTGAGATACAAATAATGCATTGTATTTGCAAGAAGACTCTAAGTTATACTGCAATAGCCAAAATGAACTTTCTGCCATTTAAGTATGTTGCCAAAGGGAAACAAATGAAGTCATTCTAACATTAAAATTTTCTTTTAAATTTGTTTTAATGAAGGATTTAAAAGGTGTTTTGGTACAACTTTTGTGAAAATATTTTACAGGCAAAAACGGCATCCAAAACATTCAAAACTAGAAAATAAAACAAAAATATAACCTTGCTTCTACGGCTTAATAGAAAGGAAATGCTGGTTTTGGACCATTTGGATACCTGAGAACACTGCTGACCAGCTGTTATATTTGAACCCAATTTCAGAAGCCCAGATGAACAATCACTTTACGTATATTTACCAGCAATCTCCTGCTGTTACAGCATGATGCAGGACACAGGTCATATTAAAAGCGTAATTTGAGCTATTCCACAACTGGCAATTTACAGCCAGTTTGAGATTTTGAAAAATGAAGGACTAAAAAGGAGGCCATTTGTTTCCATGAGAGAAAGCTGGACGCTGTTTGCTAACTGATTTTTCTTTGAAATTGAAGGTGTGTATTTGTTACCTTTAGGGACTTTTTTAGTTACAAAAATATATCATAATACACTTTTCATCTCATTCAGCCTCTAGGTGTCTGAGCAGAGATCTGCTTGTAGTATCAGCCTGCTCTTTGGAGAATTATATGGTTACCTGCTACATAAAGTAACTATTAATCATAGATTGGTTTTCTTTATTTTTAATCGTGGCCTTGAAGGCCTTCTAAAAGAAAAGCCTCTGTTGTAATCACATCTCTGCCTTATGTATCGCAACTTTGTAATTTTATACCTACATTCACATATACTGTATATACATATATAATCAGGATAGGTTTGCTACAGTCTACTTTTCTGGTTTACATAAGAATTTATCATCACACATGTCAAGCAAAGAACCACTCAAAATAAATGTTTGGCTGCTTCCATCCCTTCACTCTTCATTACCTGAATGAAGTCTGCACTCCATCAATATCTTCTGTCAATATGATTGATTTGTACCTTGGCTTGGCCTAAACAGCCAGCAACAAGTTGGAAACTGTTTTGCTTTGTTGGTATATCCAGCAGGTGTGGCAGATTTGCTTCCTTCCTTCCTATTTGTAATTTCTGACATCAATTAGTGCTGTTGCTTGTTCCCCCTAAAGAGTCACAGCAATTATAGCTGAAATAATGGAGAAGATAAATAGTGGGGGATTTTAGACCCTCTGCTGGTTAAAAAGCTTCACATCTTGACAATTCTTGGGCAAAAGATTAGCAACAAGTATTAAAATACTTTTATTAGTTGGACGATTTTCAAAATCTAAACACAAAAAAAATATTTTTAATCTCCTCAAACAGAACATGCAAAAACTGTAAGTATCACATTGTTGTTAACATGGGGGATTGAATTATTTTATTTATTTGCAGTGGCTTGCTAAAGTTCTCATGACATCAGACTTTTTTCATACTTTTTCACAATGTTCAATGTCATTTATTAGGTTTCTATGTGATAGCCAACCTTAAGTAGTGCATGCTAATGAGTAAGCAAGATGATTTAAGAGTCTACCATAGCTTTCCAGTCAGATCAAGGTCAAGACTTTGAGTGGGCCATTCTAAGACAGGGAGTAGTCTGCTGAGAAGGAAGAATACAGAATAAGGAATACCATCATTCCCTATGCTGCTGGAGTATCTGAAAAACTCAGGAGGATTTTCAATCAGCACCAGATCCCTTTGCACTTCAAACCTGGCAACAACCTGAGACAAAAACTGGATCACCCCAAAGTCAAGACACCCAGATACAAGACCGACAATGTGGTTTAGGCCATTTAGTGTAGGGAAGAGAGCACAGACCTGTACATTGGAGAGACTGTTGTGTACACTCAAAAAAAGCAAACTGGGTGTCTGTTACCTTGTCTTATGTCTAACATGTAGCTTCTACTATATAAAATCATGTTTTGTGGTTGAACAGTTTTAAATCATGTAGATTTAGCATAAAATGCAACAACTTAAAATTTACTTGAATAATTTATGTTAAAACAACCTAATTCTAATGGGTTAAGATTGCAAATCAATAACACTCCAAAGCAGTAGGTGGCAGTAATGAGCACATTCCCCTCTCTTGAAGGCCATGGTCAAAGGTGAGTGAGTCCCCGACTCTGGCTGGCAGAAGGAGTAGACATTTTGAAAAGAAATTTCAAGTGTGGAAGAAGGTAAGTTTAATCTTTTATCATCCATCGAACAGAAAACAATACGGCAGCAGACATGGTATAGACAGTTAGTTATTGTCCTCTTTTGCATTTTGGATTATTTATTTGTTACTGGGCGTTTTATTAGAGTGCATTAATATATCACACTGTCGCCATGCTCATAGCTAACTAAGCTTACAAGCTAGCATCCTGAGGTCGACGGCATGGTTGACAACGCGTGCGGATTCATTTACAAAATGAGCTAAGAGCTGATGCAGGCATGGCTGGTGGGGGATAATTGCCTGCGTTTGGTGAATGTAGCTGCAGCTAAAAGGCTCCAGTCACATAGGCTACATTAATAATAATAGTGGTGATGAATTTCCCCCCAATCCGAATCTTGGCTTCACGTGGAGTCCGCAGAAAGCTCGGCACTTAACAGTCATTAGCTCTAAGTTTGGAAACTACCACGGCATCTCGGCACCTTGGCGGGGTTTCTATGTCAACTCCACGTAGCATTAGCTTACCAGCTACTAACATCAACACAGTAGTTCTTCGCACTATGGAGCTTTCCACAGTCAGATTTTATTCACTTTGTTGACGAGGGAACAAATGTGTGCTACCATAAATGTACTGTTGTGCTGTAGCCCAGCTAGGAAAGCAAATCGTTACCATATTTCAAATGAAAAAGCATTTTCAGAAATGCTTTTTCATTTTAAGAATGTGGCTGCATTGTTTGACTCATAAATGAAATTAGTAATCAATCATCCTGTTTGCATTTTAAATTTCTTCTTTAATGCTTCTCATCATTTTACTTAATTAAAATAAAAAAGAAAAATACATTTGAGATTTATTTTTTGAAAATGTACCCCAGAAAATACATACCAAAAATAAATTTGAAATGTAAATTTTGAAAATGAAAAAGTATTTTCAGAAATGCTTTTTCATTTTAGGAATGTGATTGCATTGTTTGCCTCATAAATTAAATTAGTAATTAATCATCCTATTTCCATCTTGAATAAATGCACAGCACTCATTAACTTTGATTGAAATATGTACAGTGTGATTTATATCAGCCAACAAAATGTGGGCTAGCCTTGGAAATAACTTGTAAGCTGATTTAGGATTTGGTGGTAGATGACAATTGTTAAACTAGTCGGTCATTTCAATGCTATGATAGTTAAATTTACTTTTGTGTACCCTTTCTGTTTAAGCTAACTGCTGAATTTAAGAGGATTACAACCATCAGTTTGCTGTCAAAGTTCTTCTCCCAGCTGGATGCTCATTCTTCAAACTTGATGAGGGTGTTTGGCAAGAAAGGCGGCGTTCAAGGAAGAAAGATAAGGAGCATCATGATACCCATCACCAAGGTATGATAATAGAATAAAATAGAAATTGTCAAACCTGTACCGATTCAATATTCTAAACTTAATGCTTGAAATTTAAAGCGGAAGTTTCAGAGGGATGGAGAGAAATAAAACTAGATGGAGAGGGGTGTAATGTACTTTTATGAAGAAGGATCTGATAAAATTTTAACCTTGGGCAGATGTGACAATGTCCACTGATGTTGCAATGGTAGGTTCTGTTTCCTGGGACCACATGCTTACATTTGACATATTTCTATGATAAAATGTCTTGCTGGTACATAAAACCAATGCACCCATGGATATTGTAAGTTCATATATCATAAAAATTGTCAATGATTTTTACATTTTGAAGAATGTATTATTTAAAGTTTTGTTTGTAAAATCTTCTACCAGTTGATTAAAATGTTTTATCTTTAATTTATTGTCCTACATACTCAGACTGACGCCATTGATGTCAAAAGAGAGTGAATCATCAAAGCCCTGTGTGTGTACCTGAATGAAGAGCCCGAGAACCTTGTGAAAGAATACATGGTATGTAATTTAGTGTGTTTAAAAATGGGACCAGTATAACATATCTTTACATGTATATCCTCTATTTCCCCCTTTTTTCTGTGAAGAACACAGATTGTGGGAGCAGTGAAGCTGCAGTGATGGAGACGACATTTGGAATATTTGTCATTCGCAAGGAAGGTGCAGAGCCAGGTGATGGACCGGAAGATGTAGGTATAGTTCTGGATGGGCTCGGAAACGTGCCACTTGCTGTGGTCATGTTGTTTGCGCTTGTATATGCGCTTAACCTCAGCTACCCGCCAGAGCTCAGATACACCTTTGAAGCTTTGCAGAAGATCATCGTGGAGCTTGATGGAAACATACTCTCAAAAAAAACTCAAACACTGAAAACTCTACTTGCGTGTTAGTCACCCTCAATAGAGTAAACTACAGGTTTGGAGTTACTCTAATGGGAAGGCATTTGAAGCCATTTGAGTAGTTACTGAACTGAAAGCTGTGTTTGTGTTTTAATACATCCTGTTGCTATTTTGGGTTTACAAAATAGAATGTTTTGAAATGTTTCTTTATGCAAAGGTAAGGTTTTAAAACAAATTGTTATTTTCTAAAGAAAACTATTTTGATATGGATGCATTATGCTGTATTTTGGTTGTTCTCAAATATTGGTCTTTGCACTCAGTTGACAGGACCACTTTCTGCGTATAACTTTGTAAAGGGCTTTGCTGAAAGCTCTAAATATAGACACCTAATGACGGGGCTCCAATTTCCTAACTCAGGAGTTACAACTTTTGTTTGTCTATCTGTTGTAGTTTTTTTACAGACATGATGTTGGACACTGTTTCAGGCTGTATTGTTTGTTGTATTTTCACAACGTAGTCATTTTTAAAGTAAAGTGATTTCAACAAATCCAATTTAGTTCATGTTTTTCTTTTCCAAACTTGACACCAGCTGGGGGTATATAGGCTGACATGTACATTTTAAATAGCTGAATATGTATACGAAAAATGATTTATTTTGTGAATAATTACTTATGTTCATTTTCATATGATAAAGTTAATCTCTTACCTAACTTTGTTTTGTGGGCTCAGCACAATAAATTCATGTACTGTACTATTTTGAAAAGTAGTTGTAACTACCCTATTAAATTATGTACCTAATAATCCTATCATACAAGTTTAAATGGCTTAAGAAAATTATGTTAGTATGTTACATTTACCTATATTTATCTAGTTGGACTGACCCCTGGTAATTAAGTAATAGTAATGCAAATACAGCACGTTGACCCAACATATTTACCCTTTGTTTACTTAACAAAATTGCTTCTCGCTAAATTAATGCATTTTATTTAGGTGGAAATTATTTCCATAATTTTATTACGTTCTGGGAACAAGTTTTTTTTTGAGTGTATTAATCTGCACTAATCATAAGATAAAATAAAGTTAATGTTTTATAAGTTTAAAGTTGTTTTCCCAAATACTGTTATAAGAGCCATTCGAGGCCAGAGAGGAGAAAAGCAGAGGAGTGAGTATGTGTAGCTGTTGCAGCTGGCGCCAATGGGAGTGAGGTCTGCAGGACAACGCAGGGTTGAGGCCCCTTAGTGATAAGAAAGCACCCTCAATAAAAATTAAATATTTGACATCTCAAGGTTGCCCAGCTCAGCAAAATTTGGCCATACAAAAAGAGTTGTTATTTTCAAGGCACACGGAGCGGTAATGGTCCCAGAAAGGGTGATGCTTTGACTAAGATACGAGGGGGGAGCAGTAGGCTAGACTGACATGGCTTGAAGCAAGGGAAAGATGTGTTCTGACATGTTTGTGACTAAACCGTCATAAGTTTCTGATTTGAATGCACCAGATGTTTTCATGGCCTGAGAGATTGCTCTCAAAAGAATGAGATGTGTCTATGAATGTCACCGTGTTTTGCAGATGAATATCAATGTGACCTTTACCAAAGACTGAAATATGTTCTGAAGGGGGTTTTCCACCGATAAGAAATGTATAAAAGGGAGCTGTGTTCACCAGTTGTTCAGCTTCGGCTCACCGGTGACCAGCTCAGTGTAAATGTGTTGTGTTTAGCAATAAACACACTGGACCCGGACTCAGCTGCCCCTGCCTGAATTTTTTGATCTTGGTTTGAGTCTTTTTCTGCTTTTTAAGAACTTTGAATTTTTATAAAACTTAGCTTCAATTTTAAGTCGTCAAGAAGAGAATTATAGACGACAAGACCAAGCAACCACTACACAGGTGCATGGCTGAACACAGGAGGGCCAACTCCTCAGGACAGGACTCAGCTGTTCACCTGAAGGCTTAAGGACACTCGTGCGTGGTAAACCACGGCCATATTTCTGTGAAGGGAGGTAGATGGTTTGAGTGAGGGGTTAAGAAAGCCATCTTTGTTAACCTGGAAAAATCATCACAGAACATAGGAGGTGCTCTTAGACATAACCTGTCACCTACTGTAGTAACAAAGCACTTTTAGGTACATTACCCAGAAGATTCGAAGAACCTGAATACAAGGAAACAACTTTACAATGTATTTGTTCTCTACTTTACCCTTGTGTAAAATGTAAAGGCTCCACAAACTTTCAAAAAACATTCGAAGTTTAAATCCTAATATTTGTCACACTGAAAAAAAAACAAATCATAAGATTTACTTAAAAACTATATTGTAGGTATTTACACGTAAACTATTTAGGTAAAATGTAATACTGCAATATCAAGTAACAGTCATTTGCCAGTATCAATTGAATTTTGTTTTCTGTAAGGCAAAACAGTTGTGAAGATATGAAGTAACATTTACTTAAAGCTACAGTGTGTAATAATTACAGGGATATACAGTCAGAAATGTAATATATTATACATAACTATGTTATTTATCATCATCTACGAGCTCAGCCTCTTAACCTTAATATTTGCGTTGCCTTAGAATTCGTTATTTATAATTACATAGGAGCGGGTCTCGCAGCCATGGAGGCAGACATCTTTGCTTTACGGCAGCGCAGAGCCAGCAAACTAGCGATTGCGAGATCGACCATTACGCTCGAAAGTAACTACGGCAAGTTGAGAGAGATGAACTGAGACGGTACTGAACAATAGATGGCAGTATTAAAATTATCTATGTAAACAAACCTCATCACTTGAGAAGGTAGGTGATGCGGACGTCGTGGAAGACATTTTGTCCCGTAACGCTCACCGTACTGTTGGGGGGGAGAAGCGGTGGGGGGGAGATGTTCATGTTGCTGCGGTCTGCAGTCTGGACGCTAGATGTCGCTGAAAATTACACACTGTAGCTTTAATTACATCCAAGTTGTAAGTTGGATTTATTTAAACAAATTAAGTTAAGTGCACTTCTTTTTTATACGCACAAACAGCATTTCACTCAGAACTAAGTAAATCTTATTTCCCTGTAGTATTACAGGGATATCATTTCTTTGGTCTTGACATATTGATTTACTTTGTTGCATTTTTTTTTTTTTTACATTACTCACTACTTTTTTTTTTATATAAAGATTACCAAATAAAATTGAACCAATAGTCTATACATTAAATAAACATTAAACAGTTTACTTTTCATTTTAAACAGTTTAACAAAGAAGTAAATACCCTATTGTATTAAATTGCCCAATCTTTCATGGGCCAATCAAAACTCGAACCCATCCATCCATCCATCCATCCATCCATCCATCCATCCATCCATCCATCCATCCATCCATGTTGGGGTCATGAGGGTTGTACCAACTGGGCGAGAAGCGGGGTACCCTGGACAGGTCGCCAGTCCACTGCAGGGCAACACAGAGATGAACAGGACAAACAAACATTCACGCAAACACTCACACCTAAGGGCAATTTAGAGAAGCCAATTAACCTAACAATCATGTTTTTGGACTGTGAGAGGAACCTGGGGTACCAGGAGAGAGCATGCTCCGGGAGAACATGAAAACTCCACACAGAAAGACCCCAGGCCAGGAATCGAACCCGGCCTGGTCCTCTGAAACTGAGAGTTTCAACATTCATTGCAAAAATATACTCATATGTAAGATCAAGAATATTTAACTTACAAAAACAACTTCTGGGCAAGGGTCAGAACAGAAACACCCTCTTAAACTTTGAGCAGTGATGTAAAGATTATATATGCCTCTTTTTAAAAGAAAAAAATAGCATGTGCAAATATAACATTAATTGTAAAAGTGCATTATGTTGTACTGCATCAGAATTTGTACTGAAAAAAACTAAGGTTGGTGTGACTTGTAAACAACAAATACACAGTAATCCAACACAGATCTGGTAATATTGTCACTACTCAAATAAGCGATAAAAATCTTACAAATCTACACACTGAAACATTGCAATTTCAACATTTAAACCAGCCGGTCACACTAGTGGACTTTTAAGAATGCAATTACAACATTAATGAAACAAAATCATCACAGTTAAAAATTAACAGCTTAAACTATCTAACCAATCTCAATGAAGAATAAAATCTCTACTAGAGATTTGAATATATTTGTTACTTTTTTTTCAAACAACATATACCTTATTTGGCAAAAACAAAACATTAATGACAGGTAACTGTGGTGTCTGAGCCTGTTAATGTGCAGTTTAGGTAGTCCCCTCCCCCCCTCTCTCTCTCTCTCTAATAGGTGTGGCTTGGGAGTTGCTGGCTGCACACAGCTGAGACTAATCTTCTTCTGGAGCAGTATTTGAAGCCTGGCCACCTGTGTGCTCACTGCCTGATGGTCACCGTTTGTTGGATCCAGCTCCTGATCTGTCTCCAGCTACTAAGCCACACCACCCACCCCCCTCAACTCTAACTGCTGCTGAGAGCTTGCCTGCCACCTCCAACTGCCACTGCTTCCAGAGACACCTTCCTTCACTGTCAGCCTGTGAACCAAAGAATAAACTTTGCACCTTTCTCCTAACCTGGCTGTCTGCATTTTGGGTCCAGCACCTAGCCCCCACAGTACCATCAGGCCACACCATGGACCCAGCAGACCCAGAAGAATTCCGGAAGGCCCTCTCCAACCAAGGATTCTTAATTGGAAAGCATGACCAGCTACTTACAGAAACCATGAGCATTCTGCAGGATCTGAGTCACAAGGTAGCTCACATTGCCTCTCGGCTTCCCACTCAAACTCCACCTGAAACCCCAGCAGCAGTGAGTAATCCTCCTTCTCAGGCTCAAGCACACCCCCCACCTATGGCTAGAGAACCTTTTGTTCCACCCCCAGAGAATTACTCAGGTGATTTTGGTTCCTGTAGTCGTTTCCTGTTACAGTGTTCCCTGGTTTTTGATCTGCAACCATCCAGCTATCCTGATGATCGCTCTAGAATTGCCTGTTATCAATCTACTTAGAGGTAAGGCTAGTCAATGGGCGACTGCTTTATGGGAAGGGGAGTCAGGGGCTCTTCAGTCTTATGAAGATTTTACCTCTGAGCTACGCCGTGTTTTTGACCATCCTATTAAGGGTCGGGAGGTCGAAAAGAGGTTGTTAAGCTTAC